CTTTGCAACACATCAGTGGTACCCTTCATGAGTGAGGATGTTTCGAACTGTGCTGGTGCTGACATCAGCATTGATTGCATTTGCGATCTTGCAAAATGGCTGGTGGCACTTCTTGAGGGCCTCTCTCACAATGAGATGGTCCTCATGGTCTGTTGTCTTCTTTGGATGCCCTGACTGAGGAAGGTTTTCTGTAGATCCATTTTTACAGAATTTGTCCCAGATGCCTTGTGCTGTTTCTGGCTTGATGCCAAACTCCCTGCCAGCTTTCTGGATGTTTGCACTGGCAAGGACGGCTCCAATGAACTGATTTTTCTTTGCCTCATTATGCGGGACTTGTGAGGCCTTTGGAAGTACCATAAGTTGTAAAAGCAGTGGGGTGACAGTGAGTTACAAACACATCTATTCAACAGAAAACAAACATGACATGACTAAAAATCACATGGTGCTTGGTCACTTTTTGTGATGATGAGTATGTAGGCACCCCAGGCTAAGATGTATACCTACAACTGTTATGTGCATCATGGGTTGGTGTTATTATTTACAAAATCCTTTATCCAACTGTAGTCTGTGTGACCTGGCTGAACTATTTTTGAACATAACCTCTACCCCCAAATCATCTGGCAAATTTCTGATAAGGCCAACTATCCCCCTGGGTGGCTCTGTAGAACAGCAAGCTAGTAGCACAAGGGCAAACCACATTCATCGCCTGGCAAAGAGGTAATAAAAACATCAGTAGTTTAACAAATAGCTTTTTTCCGCTTGCACAAGGGAAAAAAGTGGCAAAAAGGGACAAAAGTGACAGGTCAAAAAAGCTATGTGGCTAATCCAAAAAAGCTGGCTACTTTTTGTGTTACTCAAAGACTAGAAAAAGTGGAAAAGCTATGAAACAGCAAAATGTGTATCTACAAGTAACACTAACAATACTATCTCTACAATTCTCACCACACAAATCTTGCAGGTCAACTAGCAAATCTCCTGCTGAAAAACAGAAGCCTCAGAAGCATAAACACACAGGAAAAGGGGAGGAAGTGGTACCTTCAGCCTGGATCCAGAACTCAACACCAAGAACCAGCCAATGCACTCAAATGACATCATCACCACAAGAGGGTTAAAGCATTTCAACTTGATTGGAGGCAGGACTTGGGCAGGTCATGCCAATGGACATCTAAGAAGGTCACCCAAGTGTGGTTGACGTGGAGGTTCAAGCTGGTGGCATGATGATTGATCGAATATTCAATGTTGGCATCATGTCGGAGTCTGAAAATCAACAATGCCCACCACTTTGTCACACATCACCACCTTTCTCTCCATCTTCGACACCATGACTAATGCTGACCAGGCCAACCTAAATACAGTGTTAGGATGGATGTTGGCAGACTACATCATGCACAGCAGTGTCCTCAATTCATTTCATACTTACTAGAACACCTGTAGTCTAAGGTTGTTGACTGGTAGTTAGCTTTTTCACTTTTTAGCCTTTAATTTTTTGCAAAACCCAGAAAAAGCTGAAAAGCGATGAAAAGGGAAAAAGTAAAATGCTAACTTGCTGATGAAGGAGTTAAATATGTTAAATAATCAACTCCACATTGGTGTTAAAAATGTATAAAAAGAACAGATTCATTGTTCATTCAATTTTGCAGCCACAAAAAGGTCATATCATGTATGTAAAATATTTGTTAGAGCAGGAATGACTGAGAAACAAAAGAAATTCTTGCCAGAAAAGGAAGATAAAGAAAGACCCTGTTTTACCTGGGCAACAATGGTGAAGCAACTATTTAATGTCATTGAAAGGTCTTTCTTGGCACTTTGAAAAGCAATCAAGGAAATTAAATTTAACCCTCTTAAACAAAGGAACCCTGAGTGATAATTTTAATTCTTTGTTTCTGTTCCCTCAGGCCAGAAAGATCTTTCAATGACATTAAATAGTTGCCTCATCATTGTTGCAAAGGTAAAACAGGGTTTTTCTTTATCTTCCTTTCCTGGCAGGATTTCTTTTGTTTCTCAGTCATTCCTGCACTAACAAACTCAAAACAAACTACCAATAAATATTTGACATACACATCACCACCTTTTTGTGGCTGCAAAGTTGAGATAACAATGAATCTTTTTATTTGAACATTTTTGACACTAATGTGAGATTGAATATTTAACATAGTTATCTCCTTTTTATTACCTCTTCACCAGGCAACAAATGTGGTTTTCCCCTTGTGTAGAGGCCCATCTAAGGGCATACTGAACCAGGACCATGGGTAGATTTATCCCATGTGGGTGTGATTAGTAAGGAAGCTGACATGAAGGTAGTGGTGATACACCACAAAACAGTCAGAGTATAGGTGTGTTACTTCAAACAAAGGTGGAGTGTATCATTGTTAGGTGATCAGGTCTATAATTGATAGAAAATATATTTAATTGAGGTTGCAACCCAGAATGGCAGATCAATGTCAATGCATGAGATCAAAGCAACGCCTGCCTCCACTATGTCAACTATGCTGCCACCACACCTCAAGCCAACTGGTGGCCTGATGACTTACTTGTGCTGGCCTTTTGCTCTCTTCACCTGTCCACCAAGTTGTGGCCTTGACATTGCTTGGATGCTTCAAAAAGGCCTCCATGAAGATATGAACTCTGTGCCATGGCCCATATCCAACACATTCAATTGTCACTTGCCACAGTCTCAAGCTAGGACCAATCACATAAATTTTATTATTCACCCTTCCTCCAGCCCTATTGTAAGCCCCTTTACATCTCTCAATCACTATATACAATAACTGACAGTGCAATCTCACAGACATTGAACATCAACTTATGTTTGACCTGTGCATCAATACATCACAACCCTCCTGATGTTGGCACGTTGAGTCTGAGACAACCCCCATCAGAGGGTGCTGTAGCTAGTGTTCGCAAGTTCAGTTCAGTCTGGTTTTTTGCCCCCAAAACGCGCAACCGTGGACCGCAACCGGTCTAGGACCGACCCAGATATTGAGGGAACCGAACCGAACCACCTAGGACCGGTCTATTTCGGTCTATGGAGCCGGTTCAGACCGATCCAGACCGGTTTTTTTGCGTATAATTTATTATACCAATATAAACCATTTGTATCTTGACTATTATTACTCTGAAAAATAAACAGGTTATATGAAATAGTAAAGCATGTAAATACCCGTCATTCTACCAATTTTGAAGAGATTTAATGAAGATTTGACATAGCTATGACTGAAACCGAATTACATCTCGTAGAGACTCAGGTAAAATATGGATTTGGTTATATCTTTCTCAATTCTTAACCGTTTTTGATGAAATAAAAACCCAATAAAAGGTAATAAACGTGGTTACAAGGGTATGTAACGCACGTGACCGTTTAACCGGTTGCAACCGATCAAAACCGGTCTTTGAACGGTTTTAATATATTTTCGAAATGAGGCAACCGGCAACTGGACCAACCCCAAATTGGGGCAACTGCAACCGAAAAAAAGACCGGTCCATGGTCCGGTTCAGTTCGGTCCACCGGTTTTTTGCGGTCCTATGGACTGAACCTTTAAACACTAGCTGTAGCCCCTGCCAATTCCAACTCAGAAACTGAGCCTGATTCTGGAGCTGAGGATTTGACTGCCATTGTCAAACTGATTATGCCAGCCTCTGACTCTGCAATGGAGCCAGATTCTGGTGCTCAGGACCTTGTTCCAAAGCCTGATTTCAACCCAAGCTCAGTTAGTGTTTGAAAGTCCGGTTCGGTCCGGTTTTTTGATGCCCAGGGGCATTAACCGTAACTGTAACCGGTCTGCCTTTTCCCCAGAAGTCAAAAGACCAGACCGGACCACAAAAAACTGCGGTCTGCGGTCTTTTTGCAGTCTATAGACCGGTTTCGGTCTGCATCGGTTTTAACCGGTTTATGACCGGTTTGTAGGCTAATATTTTAAAATTATGAATCGGTAAATTTATTAACATCTCTATTAGCTTCAAAACGAGCTCAAGAACGTCAAATTCCGTTAGGAATTGGTACTTTTATAAAATAAGTCTGGTACATCTATTATTCCCAAAAGTAATTTACATTTTAATTCATATCTCTCTCGTTTTTTTACCAAATCATACGTTCTTGGGTGCGTTTTAAAGGGTATTTAAGGGGCTACAAAAAACCAATCCAAACCGGTTAAGACCGGTTCACGTTAACCGGTTTTTTTGCGGTCTTGGTCCAGTCTGGTTACAGTCTTTTTCCAGTCATGAGACCGGACTTCCAAACACTAAGCTCAGTCCTCATGAGTAATACTACTTAAATGTTTTCACCTACCTGGTTTCTTTAAGTAGCTCTCAACACATCCAAAGCATTGAAGAGACTCTTTTTTGAATGTTAGCATGCAGGTACCCACACAAGAACCTTTATTAACTAAATACTATGTACAGATGAGTGCAAAAGAATGAAGGTTGGGTCATTTTCTGGTTCTTTCTAAGAATCCATTGTACCTCAAATGTATTTGTGTATTCTTTGACATTATGTAGTTGTGTTACACTTCCCTTGGTATGGACTAATTTCAGTGAAAGCTGGAGCCTTGAGAAGGTTTTTATTCTGGAGGCCATTTTTGGCATCTGAAAAAAAAAAGTGCTAACTGGAGAGGTAGCCAGAACATACCTCTGGTCAACCTGAATGAGCCTATCAAGGAATTAGTTAACAATACAGAGTGGTTATGCTTGTAGAGCCTCCAGAAAATGGTCATTTTGTGCTATTTTGGTCATTTTTTGCCTGTTTTAGACAATACAAGCCATTTTCCAAAGCCTCTACAAACCTAACTGCTCAGTATTTTTGGCTGATT